TGTGCATATTTAACATGTTAGAACGAGCCATCAGTCTTTAGTCATGCTAAGATCCTTAAAACCACACACTAAATATTAAATATTGGCTTTATCCAGGTAGATTCTCAAAAAACTTGCAGTAAAAAATAATTTTTTTATTGACGCAAGGTAATTTGGGTCAATTCACTTGGAAGTCTGAGGGCCGCATTTGGCCCCCGGGCCATAGTTTGGACATGCCTGGTGTAGAGGTTCCTCATCAGGCAGCGCTCTGTGTTCTGGGTTTGTATCTCAACGTTTTTGGTGTCAGTAAAAAACAAGCCACACTGCTGGATTCTGGTCTCCTGCAGGCCAGAAGAACTATCGCCTTATTTTGAAACAAGCACAATCAGAGATATCAGCCTGGTCCCCATGAGACATTGTTGGGTCAGTTCATCAGCACAGAAGCAGTTTATGAGGAGTCCAGTCCATATCACATGATCATTATACCCACAATGTAATGTGTGTATGTGTACAGGCCCATGAACATTTGTGTGATGTTGGTCACACATGAGAATGTCTGTGTTTACTAGTGTGTAACAAAAATGTCATTTTTCATGAGTTGTGTGTGTGTCAGTTGTGTGACTGTAGATCAGTGTGTTGTGTTTCACCAGAAAAACAAGAAATGGAAATTATTTTTTTTCCAATTAGAATTTTAACAGCACACACTGAAACAGAAAGGAACTGTTCTGGAATTTGTGATTATCTATTCATATTTGACTATACAAATACATAGAATTATAAATAGATTATAGTTTTTCTGATATTCTGAGACACTCCCGTTGCTCGAGCTCCATCCTTCACAGAGTTATGACCAGAAACGCATATTTGACCTTGGTTACCTTGACCTTCAAGTGACCTTGACCAGTTTCAACCTGTAACATCCAGTGTACCCCGATTATGTGTGTGCCAACTTGTGTGATGTTTGGGTGAATATTTTAGGCTGCAGATGGTTCAGAATTCAAATTACCGAATCCTTTATAATGGCATGACCTTTCAATTGACCTGTGTGACCTCAAATGACCTCAGATCCTCACCAAACTTTTTTTGCGGCATCGGGCATGAGGACTTGACCCACGTATCAAATTTGGTGACAACAACCTCCATCTGAACGTCAGCAAGACTAAGAAGATTGTTGTAGACTTCCAGAGAGGCCACACCCAACACCCAACACCCACCACTGACCATCGACGGTGCTGCTGTGGAGAGAGTGAGCAGCACTAAACTCCTGAGGGTGAAGGTGAGGAGCTCTCCTGGACCAACACTGCAGCACTGGTGGAGAAAGACCAGCAGCTCCTCTACTTCCTGTAGAAACTCAAGCGGACAAGAGCCTCACCACCATCATGAGCACATTCTACAGAGGAACCAATGAGAGCATCCACCCGCCTCATGCACACAGACACCACCAGCCTCACACACAAAGCCAACACAGCAGTGAGTGATGCAAGTCACAAGTCACACCTCACACGGGAGGACGTACAGGAACCTTTGTTCCCGCCCCAACACACTCACTAATAGCTTCATCCACCAGGCTGTTAGGATGCTGAACTCTCCCCTCTATAACCACCAGGCCACCAGGAAGCAGGAATCTGTGTCTCCTCAAAGAAGAACTCCCCCAAAACATTTGGACAATCAAAACCTCAAAAACACAATCTTTTGCAGATCATATTAGCAACAATGTCTTAGAAAACTACAAAGTTACAGCATAAACATAAACATTAACTGACAACCACAGAAGCAATGGGAACCACTGCCAAAAGCTCCAATCATCTTTCTTGTTTTTTTGTTTGTTTGTTTGTTTTTTTGCAAATTCCTACAGCCAAACAGTCCTTAAACATAAACTAACTCAAAGGGATTACAGTTGCACCCCTTTGTTCAAGAAGTATAGCTAATTCTGTATTTTTTTATTTGTCTATTGTGATTGTATATAGCTGATTTACAAAATCAATCAACACCGGTAAGTGGGAGATTTGTTCAAATATTCACATACATCAATGTTGAGCTCTAAAAACTAAATCTAATTGCAAGATTTAAAAAAAAAACAACAACAAAAAACCCTGAATAATCTGTCTTTTACCAAATGACTGATTTCACTTCACTAGTAGATTTACAGTAAATATCAAAACTAAGACTCCATTTGTGCTTGCAAAAAATAAGATTTGTACATTTCAAACACAGCAATACTCGAGTTCAGTTATACACACTAAATCATAAAAGCACCACATATCCAGAACTAATGAGTGAAACCTTGAGGCTGATCTTCAAATGGTGCCACATACACATCCTTTCATTAATGCTACAATGAAGCAGGAGTCAAGTTCATCATCATCAGCCTTTGTTTTTGCTTTCATGAAAAGGTGACGCTCAAGTATGTGCAGTGGGAAGATGTTTGTTTTCATCGTGGATGTGACCAGGGCTTGAAGTCTTGAGGAAAGCCTCTTCATCCTGGGTTACAGTTCTGTCCCCATGTGTCTCTCAGCTCTTTATCTAAATGCAAAAGGAAACCAGTGTTGACTTGAAAACTTGGGAGATACTCAGGTTTAATAAAGACTGAATCAATAATTATCTAATGGATTACTGTTAACATATTTTGGTGAAGAAATATTTAGCTGTCTTAGCTTATACTCTTCTCCAGAGCAAGTTATTTGCAGGGTTTCTGTTACAGACTGTAGAACAGTGTGGGGTTAAACGCCTTGCTGAAGGGCATTTCAGCCATGTGAAAAATGACATGAATCTGTAAATTCCCTGAAATTCATGAATGTGTACAATACTGAATTACAAATACATACTTACTTTACAGTCCTTTTACTACGTATATGGAATCAATTTTGATTTTGTTCAAAAAACACTTTTAAAACATCAAGCAAAAAAGTATAAATCAAAATACAAACAAAACAAAAACAGAAAAAAAAAATTGTAAATAAAATAAATACATCTGCAATCAAATGATTTGTGTAATTGTGTAAAATCTTTTTGTTTTTGTTCTGCATCTTGTTTTGCTTGTGATTCCAGTCTTCTCGTTTGTGCTCCCTGACTTTTTGCTTGGAGGTCATTCTGTAGGACATGGGCAGTGCTCAGACTGTTCCTCCTGCACAAAGGAGCAGATGTGGATCCTGCTGATGAGTTGAGGACCTTCTACAGCTCTGTCCAGCTCTTCTAGAGGAACTGTCTGTCTCCTGAAATCTCCTCCATGTTCTGGAGATTGTGCTGGAGACACATTCAATCTTCTTGCAACAGCACGTCCAGATGTACCATCCTGGAGAAGTTGGACAATCTGTGCATCTGTAGGGTTCAGGAATGACCTCATACTCCCAGTAGTGATGATCACTGTAGCCAAAGCAGCACTCGAGGAAAAGCCAAAAAAGACCAAGAGGGAGAAACTTGAAATGACCTCCACATGTAAAACCAGTCCTGTTTTAGGGTTTGTCTCATGTTGCTGCTCTAGTGTCACCTGTTCTTCATTTCCATTAAAAGAGGAGCATCCTTTTGTTTCCAAGACATTGACCTGTCCAGATTTGTACAGATATACAACAAATTTTTTTCAGATTGAGATCTGATGTGTTTTCAAAGTGTTCATTTCATTTTTTGACCAGTATATTATAGCCCCTTTAACACTTTGGAATGGTAGTGCTTTAAAAACAAAATGACCCACTCCTAGTCCCTGAGCCCAAAATGGCCGTCTTTGTGGCCGTGTGCGAAAACCCTGGACTCCGGCTCGACTGTGGGATGGGGGGGTTGGCTGCGGGGGGGTGGGATGTGGAGGTCGGGCTGTGGGGTCAGGGCGGTCTTGGCGGGTGCAGCCAGGGCAAACACAAGGTGAGGGCTGTTTCACACACTGAGAGCAGCTATTCACCCCGCTGTCACTGTTTACAAAAACAAACCTATGTCCAGGCCAAACATGTGCACTACTGCTCCTGACCACTAGTGGGCCTCAGCGCAGGTACAGAGTGCTCATTATGCCGAAGCTCTGGAGGCTGTGCTGGTGTGGACAGGTGCTGTTTGTTCTGGCACACTTCCAATAGTGCTCAATGGGTCTGTAGTCCTCCTCTGACCGAGAGCCCGGTCCCTGGACACCACTGGCCCCAGATGTACTCAGGGACAGAGGGGATGGAGCAGCCGGAGCGCACTTACTGAGAACCATTACTCTGGGGGAAAAAAGACTAATGATTCTGACTAGCCACTAATGGCTGTTTGGATGTAACATCTGGTTTATGATTTATATTTGATACTAGAAAAGCACTCAGAGAGCGCAGACCTCCGCCAAGGACTACCCCCATTTTTTATATAAATTGCAATAAAATCAGTCTTCTGGATCAGATCCGGATCAGCCTTTGGAATATGAAAGAGGATCCCATTGTCCATCCCTGAGTCAAATTTCATGGGGTTTGGTCAATAATTAATCGAGATATTGAGAAACAAAATTTTTGGCCCCATTTACCACAATGTTAACAAAAATTTCAAAGTGATCCAGAATCCAGGATTTCTTCCGGATCACCCCCAAAATGAAATCAGTTCTTCCTTTTCACATTTCCAACAAATCCTGAAAATTTCATCAAAATCGGTCCATAACTTTTTGAGTTATGTTGCTAACAGACAAACAAACAAACAAACAAACAAACAGACAAACGCCGGCAAAAACATAACCTCCTTGGCGGAGGTAATAATCAGACACAAAATGTCAAATGTAGCACAAATGATTTAACCCTTTGTTTTTGTTTATACCTTTACACCTTTAATGAACTTATTCTACACATTCTTCCAATCGTTCCACTCTAAATACAACTTTGTGTAGATAAATGAAAAGCTCTGAAAAGTTCTTTTTGCAGATATCTCAAGTACAAATTAAATAATGTACTTCAAAGTAGTTTTATAACACAATTTCCTCAAATAAAAGTCACTTCTTACTTAAGACAAAAGCTTTGAAGACGTACAAAAATAGAACTCCTCAAAGCTAAACACGCAGAGTCATAAAGACCAAGCCAGGCTTAAAAAGTAAAAACCTTTATTTGGAAAGTCCCAGCAGTTTCCACACAATCAGTAAAATGACTCTTCTGTAACAGAGCTCCAGTGTCTTACATCACAGAGTAAATATGGCTCTGCACAGTGTCCATCCATCCAGCAGCTTCAGGGAGTGTTCACCAACCGCTCACACAATGCCCAGTCACATCCTGGGGGTCGCACGCATCACTGCCCCCCCTCTGCTCACATCAGAGCTCGTCCTGCACACACATGACAAAAGAGAAGCTTTCATTCATCCATGAATCCAAAGTCATCTTCTGAGCCTAAAAAAATGATCAGTTTGTAATTTGCCTATTTAGTCGTGTCATAGGTAAAAATACATAATTCTCCTACAAGCTGATAGCAGTTGTATATTTCTTATTGTTCATTCCTGTTGCTGACAGCAGGAAGCTCCAAAGCCTCAATGCCTCATTTGAAACTCAGGAAGTTTAAAAAGTATATTTTCCAAAAGTAGACAAGTTGGCGTACATCATTTTTTCAGCCAGCTACATATCTGGAAATACCCACACCAAGGTCACCAAAAGTATGTCTAAAGGGGAGTTAAAGCCACAGAATGTGTGTTCTTTAATAGATGTGCTGTCATGACGTTCCTTACCTTGGTTTGGCTGTTCATGCGCGGCTTTAGCTCCTCCAGTCTCGTTCTGATGATGTCAGCGATCACGCTGGCTTCTCGGCTGTTCATGTGTTCTCCTCCATACGCCGTCTGCCACAGAAACACTTTTAGAATCACACACAGAGCAGGAGGCCGACTCGACAAGCACAATAACCACACTCCATATAAACATCACAGGTTGAGCGTCAGATCCACTGACCCACAGGTTGGCGGTGCGATTCTGCTCCCACAGATGAATGCTGTTGTTGTGTCCTTGGGCAAGACGTTTGACTCACCTCACCCCCATTGTCTGCCTACACTGATGTATGAAAGGGTGAGTGGTTCCTTGTTGTAAAGCGCTTTAAGCGCCTTGAAGGTGGAAAAGTTCTATATAAAAATGTGACTATTGACCACTGACACTGTTTTCTGATCTACAGTATCATGTCGTTTCCTCTTCCCAAACACCTGGAGTTGTGTTTTCACACATGTTTAACACACAAATCCTGTAGATTGAGGCCGAGTTTGTCTATCAAACAGATAACACTCTGTTCCACCTTGTGATATCATGCAGTAATAAAGGAAGTGCTCCACTGTGTTTTTAAACTCCACACACTTTCACTAGAATCATTTGGATCACTGTATGGCTGGAATTGCCGATCTCCACTAAGCAAAAGGGACAGATTAATAATAGTATAGTAATAATTATTTCAGTTCTGCAGCAGTGACTGGAACCATCTTCAACACACTTTAAAACTTAGGTCGTTTTTACCTCTGTCGACTTTTAAACTCCATCCAGAGTATTTTACAGGATCACTACACCTGCTTTTAACACTTTTATAACTTTAATCTGCAAATATTTCACTGTCTCAGCTCTCTATTCACCGTTTCATGTTACGGTTGATGTGTGAGTATGTTCTGCTTGTGCTTCTGTTTTATTCTGCCTCTTGGTCAGGTCGTCATTGCAAATGAGAAGGTGTTCTCAGTTGACTTTCCTGGTAAAATATTGAATAAATTAAAAAATAAAAATAAATGTGTCAATGAATGGTCACATTTTTAAACAGTGCTTTTCTCTCTTCATGGCACACAAAGAGCTTTACAAGAAGGATCCACTCACCCATTCATACACCAGTGTACGCAGACACTGTCTGGCCCAAGGACACAACAACAGCATTCATTTGGGGGAGCTCAAATATGAATGAAATGTGCTTATGGGCACTTATGTTGCAATTTTTTCACTGGGAAAAATCAATAAATAAATAAATGGGAAATGTTTTTTTTTTTTGGACACACCACACAGCGTCCAAAAACACAGTCACAACAAACTCACTCATTAGCCCCAACCTGACCCGACCCTGAGCGGTATGTTCCCCTGCACTCACCCTGGGCACGCCTTGGTGGGGGTAGAAGCGGACAGTGGGGTACGCGGTGATCCCTGCTGTCTGGCACAGCTGGTAGTGTGCTTGGCAGTCCACTTTCCCTGCCCGCACCTCCCCTTTAAGGCTCTGTGGAGAAAAGACATACAAAAACATACAAAACAACTGAAACTTTGCAGCTGATGTCATCAGCATTCCCTGTGGGTGTGATGCTAACTGAAAGCACACTTTTGCCAATAGAGATGCATGTAGAGCACCCCCAACATGATGTCACTACAAAGTATCATTACAAAACAATACAAACAATACATACTCGAGCCAGAACCTCGAACTCTGGGGCAAAATGCTGGCAGGGCCCACACCACGGAGCAAAGAAGTCCAGGACCCAGTGCTGGTCCCCCTGAAGCACCAGAGTTCTGAATGAGTCTGGAGTGAGGTCCACCGACGCCCGAGGCAACGAACTGTGAGAAGAATACAGATGCAGGGTCAGAAAACACATGTGCGGTCAGAGTACAGACAGTGTTTTATACAGACAGTGTTTAGACATGTTGAAACTTTATTAGAACCATTATAAAAACAGAAGTCTGACCTGAGAGCCCAGGACCTCAGGGACTGAGAGTCTCTGTGCCAGCCATTATATGTTCTGAAACACAAGAGGACACATACAGTAGTAAGGGATACACATTATTTTTTAGAATGTCAATATTTGTTTTAGGAATGAACCAAATGAAACCAAAAGAGTAAAGGACATAGCGGTGGAATTGAAGGTGAGATTGAGGTGTGCATTTGTGGTGAAATCATGTCAAAGCATTCCCCTTATCTAAACATTGAAATACATCTGTTTTACTTTTAAAGAGGGGGTCTTATGGAGCTCTGTACCAATAGAACATTGTTCTCTCAAAAATATTCTTGAAGAGGTAGATGTCATCCATGCAGGGTCTGGAATCGGACCCTAGAGCGTGAAAAACCTCTGTCCAAATCTGAGACCATCAAACCACTGTCGCTCATTTGTATCAAGTGTCCCTTAAATGCAAAGGCAGTTCCTTCTAGACAACAAAATATATCACTTTTTCACCTGAGATCAATTATAGTTTCTCAGTCCTTTATGTAGCTTTTCCTCCTTTTTAATGTGTAAGCAGCCATATTTGTTTTTGATGCAAACACAGCATGTGTCTTTCATTGGTTAAACTGTCCATCAATCACACCCTCAGGGAGACAGCATACAGCTCCAGATCCACCCGTCTTTGTGAGGTTTCTTCAAAGGGTGTGGTTCTGGTTGTAACATGCATATCAATACTTTCTCAAATGAGTATCTAGTTTTAGTGTAAATGTTTAACACTGTGAAACACAAAGTAGTAACATCTCCATAGGCACTAGCACAGAGTGAATTGTCCACCACAAAAGGCACATAGGTAGTGGTACATACGTGAACTGGTGCGTCTTCTTGGAGGCCCCGTACAGGCGCAGCTCAGGGTACGCTCTCACACCCTGACTTTGACAAAAGGTCTGGAAGTGCTGACAGTCCACAGAGCCCACGTGGATCTGCCCCGACACCATCTGAAGACGAGCACAACACGTGAGCATGGAGCAGCACAGACAAGCCCACTGACCCAAGCCCACTGACCCAAGCCCACTGACCCAAGCCCACTGACCCAAGCCCACTGACCCACTGACCCAAGCCCACTGACACAGGGCCAGAGGGAGGAGAGATGCTCTTACCCGGGCCATGCGTCTCCACTCAGGCATCAGCATCTGGCACGGTCCACACCAGGGGGCGTAGAAGTCCACTGCCCACACTTCGCCCTCTGACCGCCCTACAACACACACACACACATTGGGTTTCTAGGCTTCTTGCGTACATTACATTAGGTGTTTTTAAGATGCCAAAATCCTGGCCTGGATTGTCAGTGAGAGCAGGCAGCTGCAGCCGAGGGGATGAGGAAAAAGCTCAAATCAGCTTAGACATTCCGGCAGAGCTGTGCTGACAGGACAGGTGTCACGTTCATTTAAAGTGTTACACTGACTAAAACTACATCAAACTTTGTGAATTCATTCTCTTCTTTCCCCACACACCACACACTGATATAACATCTCCAGAGCAAACAACACAGAGCTCACTATAAAGTTCACACAATTATGCTTGGTCTGTGGTGAAAATTATTTAGAAAACCAAGATCAGCAGGAACAGCACCTTTCATCAAAACATATCAGTCCAATCAGCTGCCAGTCAGCCGTGAGGCATGTGTTTGACAGCACTGCATTTCCCATTATGCCTTTAGAATTTACAGTCAAGCTGCAAATGCTTTTTTTCACCTTCACCGGCCTTTACTGGCCTTGCAAGGTGCCTGCATCCTCCTTGATCTCACGATATTACCGGGTCTATGTAACAGTGTGGCAGGGCTGCTCGCCTGCAGCCGCCTTGGCCACGCTCATCACCGATTCACACAGATTCTGACTTTGACTATAGAGACTACCTGCATAACACAATACAGTTGTACCTGATGTTCACATCACACAAGAAGGAAGTAGATCTGTCTAACTCTCACACACTCCTTGGTACATTGATACCTCGTACTTTTTTCACAGGGCAAAGAGGATCTGGAGTGGATCACCCCAGAGCAGACAATGAGAGCACTGCTTTTGGCACAGTCTTCCGTTTGGACAAGAAATTTAAAAAATCTTTAAAATTAGCAACAGATAGTACATGGTTGTCTCATTTTGTCACAAAGTGCTGCTTCTTCAATATATTCTGAACAAAAATTATACTCAAGAACAATAAAAATGTGGGTACTGCTGCTTTAAAAAGGGATTTTGAATAAAGCAAGTCCGTATGAATTCAATGTGTATGCAGATCTTAGATATGATCAGTGCCCACCCACTCGAGTAATCGAGTCATGTGAGAGGTGTTCACATTTGTAACATGCTAGTCATGAGGAATTAGAGCAATGATCTGCGTACTTTACCTTTAACTCTCTGTGTGAAGCTGTCAGGATCCAGGACGACCACTGAGGGCTGCACCAGGTCCTACAAGAGATCCAGGACCAACCATCAGATGCACGCCACTCATATGGCGCTCTTCACTCATCACTCATCACTACCACAACGCCAGTCATCCTGCATGAAATTTTACTTTTTGCTCCTGGTTTATTCTCAGCTCTTTCAGGATTGTCCAATATCATCAGTCAAGTTATAATCTAAAATGTGAATTTCATTGGTCATGTTTGAAAATCCATCTTGTTTTGTGACGTGACAAAACTCTTTATGTAGTACCAGAAATATGTGATAAAAATATATTACCCTCCCACCCAAATCATATAATAAATCCTCATCAGTTCACATGCAAATTCTACTTGAAAGGAACTGTATATAATATTTAGATTTTAAATTCCATGAACATGACCCCATCTGTGTCCCCAGACGGGAGGTAAACATGTTCTAATCACATACAGCTTTTACTGAGCACAATAGTAAATCTGACAGTAAAGTCAATTTATTCACTTGAGAAGGAGACAAACTTGGATGTGTCCTGTCCCGTCTGCAGGTTACGGCTCTGGAATCACAGGTGTAGGCTTTCCTGACTCGAATCTTTACTACTTTTGTTTAAATATTTCGTGATAGGAAATTACAACATGTGAATAGAATATGTGCACTTTTGTAGATATGCCTCTCACTGTTGGATGTATCATAACTGCACACACCAGCACCCTTGGTTAGTCCTTTAAAATACACACTACATTATTTTACAACAGGTTTTATGTCCCTGCCCCCTAGTGGTGCACAGAGGTATTTTCATCAAGGTTTTCTCAGAGTGACAGCGCCCTCTGATGGTGAGCGGCCGTACCTGTATGAACTCGAGGATGCCGTCTGCAGAGTGCTGGCCCTCGTACTCGTGAACAGAGGAGCCATTGAAGATCACTGTGGTGGGGTAGGCCTGGACGTTATACTGCAACACAGACAGGGCTGGAGATATCAACACATGCTTGGCTTGTCTCCTTCTAATTCAAACACTGATTTCTTTTATTTGCTTAAAAAATAAGCTACTTTTAAATCTTTAGTCTTTTTACTAAAATTTTCAGAAATCCCTTGTATATTTTTGTATATAACAAACTGAAGGTCGAAAGCTGGTTCTGTCATTTTTTTGCTTTTATATGTCCAACTTTTTTGAGTAATTATGTGCAATTTTGTTAATATATGAGAACATTAGATGTTCTCTGAACATTAGAAGTTCAGGGTCAGTCCATATGAAATCAGCCGCCCTCCCCTATGAGCCATCTCAGATTTGGCTGAAAAAAATTCAAAACAATTCTAAAATCACCAAATGAAAGAATATCAAATTTTAGCTCAGTCCCTTGAGTCGTTCCTGAGTTATGACCCTTTGAAATTTTGGGGCCATGTTCACTTTTTCTGAAGCCTTAATTTATAAACATGTTTGAGAGACCAGAACTTCATCAAAAATAGAGCTAAGAAGCTGAGTGCCACCAAAACCATCACAAGCAAAGTACCACAAATAATCTTCAATTGTCTTCACTTATAACAAGCAAATAGTCTTTAAGTCTATTAAAGGTCATTTAATCTTTTTATCAGGTGGAAAAGTCCCTAAACTCCACCAAAAATAACCTGTGAGAGCTCATTTTCAAAAATTCCGTTTGAAATGAAGGAAGTTAATAGTAGATGTTTTTATTACTTTAAACTAATCAGAATCTGCCAAAGTTTCTCTGGTAAAAATTTGATCAACATCTAACTGTGCCACATGGGGAACCGAGGCTCCAAAGAAGGGGCCAAAAAGATCACATTTGGTCTGTGACCAGATTTAGGACTCTACAATGTCATTGTCACATTTTTCTATAGCGCTTTTCCACCTTCAAGGCACTCAAAGCGCTTTACAACAAGGAACCACTCACCCATTCACACACACATTCACACACCAGTGTACGCAGACACTGTGGGCAAGGTGGGTTAAGTGTCTTGCCCAAGGACACAACAACAGCATTCATCTGTGGGAGCTGGAATCACACCAGCCAACCTGTGGGTCAGTGGATCTGACCACTCAACCTGTGATGTTTATGTCTCAGTGGGCGAATGCTCTACCAACTGAGCTACTGCCGCCCCATCATCCACATGAAAGCTCAGAAAAGTGTGAGATTGTTGTCAGAAATGGTCATTCTCTCAAATATTCAGGTTCAGTTAGTTTGTAAATATCTGCTTGGAGTAAATAGATCTTGGACCTCAAAAACTGAAAAAAAAAATTGAGCGGCACCCAAATGTGAGATTCAGAATCTATGACCGAGAGTCTACAATAATACAAATGTTCAGCTTCTTAGCTCTACTTCTGATGAAGTTCTGGTCATGTTTATAAATTAAGGTTTCAGAAAAAGTGAACATGGCCCCAAAATTTCAAAGGGTCATAACTCAGGAACGACTCAAGGGACTGAGCTAAAATTTAATATTCTTTCATTTGGTCATTTTAGAAATTTTTAGAATTTTTTTTCAGCCAAATCTGAGATGGCTCATAGGGGAGATTCCTTGAAAATGGCTGATTTCATACGAACTGACCCTTCAGACATTTCAAATGTATTTTTTTTCCCCTGTTCATCTGCACTGTCTCATCTTAAAAAGCTGCTCAGTGTCTTCAAACTCCCTGAGGGACAGAGGTTCAAGGGTTAAAACACTTAACAAGTATGAATGCAGTGAGTGTGGGATTGGTGATGCTCCAAGGGGAATCTTCTCACCACAGAGTGGACGGAGTAAATGATGTTTTCTGTGTGAACATCAAGCACTGTATTCATGAAGACATGACCCTGTCACTGCACCTGACCTGACCCTCACCCTGTCTCTACACCTGCCCTGAGCCTTACCCTGTCATTGCACCTGCCCTGAGCCTTACCCTGGAGCACAGGTGCTGGTGGACGGTACAGTCCAGGGTCCCAAACCTCATCTGTCCTGCCAGCTGGATGGACGCCTTCCGGAGCTCTGGGAGGAGCGCACGACAGGGAGGGCACCACTGCACACGCAAGACACACAGGTTAGGATCCATGCTGCGTGAGGACATGGAATTGCATTCATTCCCTGGACACAGATCCTAACTTTAAAGAGGAAATATTGTGCTCTTGTATTCAAGAAGTTATTTCTCAGAGCTACTCTCATTTTCAACAACATCTGTACTTACTCATTCTCCAATATTATTTCCTTAAATCGGACATACACGTAGGATTTGGCAGCATGGTGTAGACATTTTGGCATAAATGAAAAAAAAAATCAACTTCTTGTTAGTGTGATGTGCAGGTATTGAAGAAGTGGCCAACAGTATGCGCCGTCATTTTAGATGAATATTGCAATTAAAAATATACTAATGTGACAGTAATCCACAAGTGTTATAGATTATAACTATATAGTAGATACAACACATGTCTTAATGAATAAGAAATACTCCTTGTATAATTCATATCTGAACTTGAAACCATGTTGATCTCATTTTAGAAGATCCCAACAAAACAAAAACTCCATATGAAGTGAGAGTTGATGAGACTCATCTCACCTGACCAGTGTTTACATCCGTATCCTGAAACTGATCAAACAGAGGCTGCTTACACGATACACCGATGAGAGCAGAGTTTGTATTGTGGGTGTTTCACAGTCCACCCACAAAGTCAACAGTGCTCTTATCAGCTGCACACCACATTACAGTGAGAAGCACCCAGGCACACGTGGAGCTCCTCTCACAACAGGATTCTAAAAGCTAAGTTGCATCAGTTTTATACTGCGCTTTTCTGGACACTCAAAGACTTTACAGAGCATTATTCATTCACTCCACACTCGGTGGTGGTAAGCTACTATTGAAGCCACAGCTGCCCTGGGGCAGACTGACAGAACTACGGCCGAACTACTAAAAAGATGCCAAAAAAATACTTCATTTCTCTACTTTGAAACATTTATTCATGATTTGTTTTAAAATAACAATAATGAAAAAAAATAATAATAATAATCTGCTGACTTCAGGGTGAAAATTGCAGAGGCCAATGGGAGATGACGTCACCGTAACCCAGAATTTATTCTAGAAGTGTGAGCAGCACATAACGTCGGCAGAGCTGCATATGCATGTACTTTTAAAAGCTTCAATTTACACCAGAGGCAGTAGAGCTGCTCCTGTGACGTCAGCCTCTGTGTATTCTCATGTTTAAACACTAAACATTTTACATTGTTTATGTGTTCAATGTTGACTGGATGAATTATGTTTTAAATCACAATACAAATGTTGACAACAAGAGAAATGATGCTTTGCAGTGATAACGAGTCGTATCTGTGGTGCTGCATTAACTCACCATTTCACTTTCACTCATCACACACCTTTTCCTTCAGAAGTTGTTGATGTTTTATATTTATCCTCCACGGCTATAAACTTTGTGTAGTCCATCATGAGTCATTCCCTGAGCTCACCAGGTTTACACGACTGTAGTGATTTTAGAGAAGGTATTTTGAAAGAGCATCAGAAGTTTATTTTGACACCACATGCTTAGTTTGTGTCTTGCCCCTTCAAAAAGTCTGAAAATGCTCAATTGACACTGCAAAATTAGAACTCCAACCTATTTATTTTGAGCAGCGCACTGTTATGTTTTAGTGTAAATTGAGAGTAAATTGGGGGTAATCGACAGATGCACATCACACTACTACATCACGCATTGTTTTCCATTTGTGGATACACTGTGAAATCCTATAAATAAAATAAAAGTGGAGAAGAAAGTGCATACATTACAGTGGGTGTGTACGGTGGCAGTGAAAACAGGGGTAGATGTATACATGTATGAATGACTCTAAATGCAACTTTGAGTTGTTAAATAAGGGGAAATGTCTATAACATGGTTAAAACTCTGAGAAGTTGATTCTGCATTAACTTTAGATTTTTTGCAATAGCTATGAAGGGACTAGGGGACAAGATGTAGGGAGCAGCAGACTGGGCACACATACAAATGCTGAACCCACTGATCAATTCAATTCACTTCTCAAAACTTTTCTGTTTAATCTGTTTTTTAATTCCACTTGAAAACTATATAAATGGAAAATGATAATAATAACAATAATAACATTATTATTATCATTATTATCATTATTATTATCGGGCTACCATTTCTGTAGAAATAAGACAAAGACGCGTCACAGACCGGTGCAAAGAAGTCCACCAGCCAGGGCTCCTTCTGATTGGACGGGAAGTTGTCTGGCCTCAGGGTGGTCACATGTGCCCTCACACTGTCCCGCGCGAATGCCACAATGTTGTACAGCACATCCTTCCCTGGAGACAAAAGAAACAGGTGAAAAAAGGTAGAAAACATCCTGTATTACGGAGTGTAAACCATGACAGCAATTAGGGATACAGGATATAAGCGATATATATCGGGTCCACTATTGGTATCAGTGATCGATACCAATTCGTCGATATCCATCTCTGAAGCAATACATTTTTCACCCCTTTCTCTGAGTGCCCTTTTTGAATAGACAAATGAGTCCAAATGGAAATACTATAGCACAGATAAAAACAGTCTACAGTTGTAAACTGTTGTATACTCTATACAGTTACACAAATTTTTCTTTTAACAAATTGAAAAGTTAATTTTGTAATCTTTATTTCAACTTCAGATACATTTGTGGGCCGTGCTATGAGCTTGGTATCAGCAAATATCAGTTATTGACCACAGCAGCAGATCAGATATCATATACTGGTATCAGAACATCCACATCGGCCCATACCTAATACCTCCTTTTAAAATGTGACAAACTAGTTCATTCCAAACTGTCCACAGCGGTCTAGAGTCATGCACTTATACCGTGTACTTGCAGTCAGTGCAGCATGTGAGTGTAGGGTCTGACCATGGTGGATCTCAAAGTTGTGGATGCCCATTCCTTTAAACACGGCCACGCAGGGTTTGTGGATGTACAGAGACTGGCACAGCTCGGCATCGGCCACACAGTCCACTCTGCCCACCTGAACACAACCAGTCACTTAGAAGAGAACATGCAGCGGTGTAGAGTCTGGTTGATCACCACAGCCCTGTACCTGGATGTGGTCATTGCGCAGTAGAGCCTGCAGTTTCTTGTACTCGTTCAGAGATGTGTTTTTGTCTCCGAAAAAGAAGCTGATAAGCCAGCGGTGCCGAGCCAGCTTGCTCTGAAACAGGAGACAGAGTGAGGGTGTGTCTTGGACCAGCCCTGGGTCTGATCCTGTCTAGTGTTTCCTCCACACAAAGGGCTCTGAATCTGCCATGTGAAGTGTTGTTGGGAGTCATTTAATTTCAAGTTTATAAACGGTAAAAAATAATTGGTCCATATTGCAAAACCATTTGGAAAACCAACCGCGAGTACCATGGCAACCACAAGAGCCAATCATGACTGAGGTGGTTAAAGGTGCCCGCTCTTTTCACCAGAAAGCAGTTTAAACTTGTAAACAGCATTTTACAGAAAGCTGGAGTATAATACAATCACTAAAATGGATTTTCATCATTCATCATCTCGTAACAGCCCCATGGAGCAGTATGGAGAAACCATACAATTGAATTATTTTGGATGAGTGTGGGGGGCCATGGGGGGGCCATGGGGAATAGTGGAGGTGTCTGCAGGGGTTGTACCTGGAAGTTGTGGGCACTGAGCAGCTCCAGGTCAGGCAGGTGCTCCAGGACCTGCTGGTAGATCTCTCTGCTGTCCAGACTGCGCAGCCACTATCACACAAGCACACACACACACACACACACACAAACACAAACACAAACACAGTCAGTCTGCAGGAGGAACACGAATGAACAGAGAATACAGACAGAATACACAGGGACGTACCAGGACACTGCCCTCTTGGTCCAGAGAGCTGCCTGGGGGAAACAAGGCCGTGGCTCCACTGCTCACCTGGAGAAACACACACACACGCACACACACACACACACACACACACACGCAAACAAACATCACAGAGCACTAGAGTTACTCTAATTACATACTTAAAACAGGCTTGATACTACATACAAATTTTTGATTTTAAGATGGATACCTGGTCATATGAGTAGCTACTTTCGACACTAGCTTCAGTATAAATTAGTATGTGAATTCTGATGCTCTGTATGCTCTGAAGGGGGGTCAGAAGTAAGTGTGTGTGTGTTTCTGACCTGGAAGCTGTCGCACAGATGCTCCTGGTTCACACAGTCGAGCCAGCCCACCTTCACCAGGCCGTCCTGCAGAGACAGCACGGCTCAGTACAAGGCAAAGCATCAGTCACTATCACAGACCCCCACCCTTCATCCCCTACCTCCCCAGCCCCACACAGGACCCCTCACCCCTCACCACCTTCACCAGGCCAAGACCCACTCACCTCCACAGACCACCACCCCTCATGCCTCACCCTTCAGCCCCCAACCAGGACCAATGAATACTTAAATCATTTGTTTGACAGAGACCGCTCACAAACACATGACAGACAAACAGCAAAATCTACTTTTTGGAGCTTTTGACCATGTTATTACATTGTTCTGTTATAAAAAAAAAAAACATGCCTGAAGTGGTGTTACATGTTCTGCGTGCATGTCTGCCCAAGATTCAGCACATAAGTCAACGTCAACCATGTTCCCGCATGACAATTTTCTATAAATATACAAAACCATGACGCAAAACAATGTACTACAACATGATAAATCTGATGTGATGTGCACTAGTTTAATTAGAGCTAAGCTAGAGGAGCGACTTAGCATGGGGAGCAAAGGGAAGGGGGCCTTAGAGCATTAAAAATAAGATGTATTAACCAATTAAACATTTTATTATGTTGTTTTATGGAAAATACAGAATTTTGAAAAGAATAAAAGATAACATGGTCATCTAAATATTTTATGCATAAAGAATGAATATCCCACAGGAGTGGAATAGCTCCTCTTCAATCTAACACAAAAAGACACATTCTATCAGTGAAGCAAAACATTTAAAATATTACACATTTGGACAAACTGTGTGACTCATAACCGCAAACTTCCACCCATCCATCACTGTTCCCCACTCTTTGTAACAAGTCCCTCCTCCGCCCACCTCCACCAGGCCGTCCTCCAGCAGCAGACAGACCCTTTGGACCCAGCACTATGCACCAGCAGAAACACCCAGCCCTAAAAGCCACTATTACACGTTAGACCACTCATTTTACTAAAACACTATTAAGATCATTAGATTTAAGATCTGGGGGATTTTTTGCGTGACTTGATGCCCATTTTCAGTGTTATCACTTTAAATGTCTTTCTAAATAACATTTTTCTTCCTCCAAAATTCAACTGTGTCAAATGAGGGCATATTTCATTGTATTTTAAACACAAAACACAAAATTGTCCTGTGGTCTGATTGTAACACTTTTCTTTAAAAAATTCTAGAATGAGTCTCTTGTGACAGTTCATCAAGGGAAGCGTACTGTACATGATTTAAGAATATTACTCCTTTATTACTACTTTAAATCTAAAAAAGCTGTAATTCAGAGAGTCTCCTGGGGTGTGATGAAAAATCATAGACTTAAAAAGTTAGTTATACCAAAACTAAAAGGAGCTCATCTGTCATTTATGCACCAAGAAGAGCTCTGGGATTGTCCTGCGCTGTGACAGCTGTATTTTTCTGAACAAAAATACAATTCTGATTATTAAACAGATATTATTTAAGATGGGAAAGTTACTTAATGTCTATAGTGCTAATTAAATAATTATGTAAAATATTCTGACATGGCAAATTTGTAGTGAATGTCCAGCCTGGTTACAGGAGATGTCACATGCAGGGCACATTCAAATGTCTCAAATGTCTAAAATGAGTGTCACAAAAAATGATGTCGATGTTTGTGAAAAGGCTTATGTACAAATGTTGTAGAACTGATTTGATGTAGAAAATCATTTTTGGATTTTGCTACAAAGGCGTGTCACACCGCAGGACAGAAAAAAGGTATTACACCCCCAAACATCAAGTACCCTTTTTAGGTTTAAAATTGTACTTCCTGCATCACAACAGGGAATTCCCCTAGCACCTGGCAAAATTCTAATGTACACAGAAATTATTATCTGACAAACACTTTAAACATTATTTCAACTAAATAAAGTATCAAAAAAAGTCTGTCTTAGGTGCAAGTTCAGCAGAACTTGATAGAACTGTTTCTGAACACTCTACTTCCTGTAATTTAGCATGTTTTCCATCTTTTCTTCACAAAGTGCTTCTTGATTGGTGTAAAACTATAATTTATATTTACAATAGTTATCATCCAACCAAATTAGGTCAGTTCATTTGGTTGCCCCCTGCCCAGACCCTGCCCTAAACAGGTACTCACCAGCATGCCTGCCAGCTTCTGCCTCGTCCGGGGCTCCAGGCAATCTGACAGCACAGGTCTTATTAGTGATGTGGTATACTCTTCTCTACTCTAATGAGGTATTCAACTGTAATCTTATTTCATCTGTCCTTTTTATGTTTTAGAAAGTCCTAAAAACAAAACATACATCTTCTATCCATTAACAGATCCATAGATTAAGCAAATTCGGTCTCTCCTCTTTAAAAGTCCTCTTCAGTAACACATGTGGAGTAGGGTTTTGTTTTATTAATTAACTTATGACTGTGTAATCCTTCATTAATAGTCTGTCTACATCACCAAAGTTCAGAGTTCAATGAAGATTGGCAAGAGCTGGAATTATCCAAACGGTGGTGTGCAAAGCGTAGGACAGGTGACTGATAAAATGAAAGATAGAGATAAAAGTATTTATATTTGTAAGTCAAATTTACACAGTATATGTCAGTTCTTTCTTGTTCTCTCTATTTATGTATGTAATTATTTACACACTGATCTTATAAGGTATTATGTAACATATTTAAGAAAAAGCACTTGCACAGAGCGTGGTTGAGTACACGGTGTTTTACCTCCAGACTCTGCACAGAAGGTGATGAGCCAGCCCACGCCTTTGGAGAACGCCTCCTCAATCTCACTGAAGACATTTCCTAAGAGACAATGAGCAGAAAGGACAGAGGATTACTACTACACACATGTACATGTACACTCACACTTTACACTACCAACATGGTAACAGGATAGAACAGTATGGGGAGACAAATGTTTGTAGACTTTTTACCAGAGTAGGGCTAATGAGGCACAAAATGTAGCAGTTTTTATCCTCATAATTTTTTATTTTATTTATTTTTTAAGTGGACTAATTACTCAAAATAACCTTTTAGTAATTGTTTCCCTTCTGAATGACCCTGTGAAATTGTATTTGGCATGTTTTGTTTTGCCAGTTTGCTGATTAACTCCAGTTTTCACCGCCACTGGAACACGCCCTGACTGTTATGGACATGTCCACGTAGTTTTCGGCCGCCGACAACTGCATGGTTCTTTGTTGTGATGATGTTTATGGTGAAATCAGCTCTCACTGGGCACCACGCAAGTCAATGGACTTGTTTATTAAGTTATTTTAGATGAATATTTAGATTTAAATGTCCAAATTAAAACATAATGATCCACTGGGGTCATAGGTCATAACTACTGCTGTGAAATTAAAAACTTTGTTAGATTAATCATATTTCTAAAGTGTGATTAATCACAATCAACTATTTTAAAGTTAAAATATTTGTACCAACTCAGCCCAAAGACAAGGCATGGAGTTAGCACAAAAGTTAGCAAGAGCCTCCACAATTATCTGTTACTCCATTGCCAGCTAAAATGTTCCACAGTAAAGCATTAAACTTCAATCTCCACAGAGATAAGACGACAATATATACTATACCAGTTACAGGTTACAGGTCAGATCCTGACTCAAACATTGGTAAAACTGTCTGACTAATATAGTCTGTCTATGTTCAGCAGTGCTGGGCAAGAATCTTCAAAAAGTAAATAGTTATAGTTACTCTCTGTTCCCTCTCACTGTAGTAACCGCGTTAGTAACTCCGATACTGTGTGATTAAAGTAGCGAATTAGACTAACCAGATAAAATAACTATTACATTGCCAAGAAAAAATCTTCCAAAATACACTTCAGCTGCGTTTCAAGTTAACATAAAACAATAGAAAATAATATTCAGCCTTAGTTGTCACACAAATCACCAAATACATCAAGAGCCAATGTTATAAGCCTTCCTCCTCCAGAGATCAAGCACCAACATCGACTCAACGGTAACCTTTATACAGCAGACTGTGTCAAAGCAGCATTTACCAAACGCACTGATATCAGAACATTACAAACATGTGCACGTCACATGACAGCACTTATACATGCGTAAAACCAGAGATCAGCTGCACTTCTGTTAAACTGCATCACTCTATTCTAAATGTTTGCCCAGAAAATACCAACTGTGTGGTCTGGTCATGTACGGTCTTCATGCTGCGTTGAAATCATTACTATAAAAAGTCAAATGACAGCTGTGTGCTGTTTTCATGCGTGTGTTAAATGCATAATTAACATACAGTTTTACCCACACTACAGTTTCTGTCTGTCTGTCTTTCACAAACTGCTGTGCTGTTTAGTGCTACCATATTCTCTACAGGCATTTGATTTCAATGTAGCTGTTCTAAAGTCCCTCAATGCAAGAAAAGGTTCATAATCTCAAGAAGTCATTTTCATTTAAGAACAGAATGTACTGTTTTTAGAGCAAAAGCTCATAGATAGCGATAACCACCAACAAATGTCAACAAGGTGTCCTTGACAGAGCTGTGCAAGGGACATCTCACACGGAATCAGTCATGTGTTATTAGTTCTCTTAGAGATGACGTTGTTAAATTAAATAAAATGCAAAAAAAATAAAAAAAATTGTTTTGTCTGTGTACTCCCTTTATATCACATTATACCACAACAGATTATTTCCATTTCAAGCCCAGATAAGAAAAGGCAGAGCCTTACCGTGCCACAGCTGGGAGACCACGGTGCTGATGAACTGCATGGAGAAGCGCACCAGGTTGTCTTTGGAGCGCTCCCCACTGAACTTCTCTGGAGTCTGCAGAACAAGACCAAAACACAGGGACAGGCCTCTGAATTGACAAACTCATACAAGAGCCCCATTCATTTGAAAACACGTTTGCAGAAGTCTGAACTACACGTACAACAAGATTTTTCTATAAAAGTACAGAACATCTAAATGATTGCAACCTTTGCAATTCGACAGCTGTGGTAACTCAGATTATCATTTCCAGTGAATTGTGATATATTGTGCATGTGTATTATAGATGGAGCTCTATGGCAAAAAAATACACTACCAGTCACAAGTTTGACTTTTGACTGTATAACACGCTAGAGTTTCCCAGTGTGATGGGCCACTGGTGGTTGGTGTGTTTACCTGTCCTGCTCTGTAGAGGTACAGACTCGGGTAGCTGTGGATGCCTTTCCTCCGGCACAGCTGGTGGTTGTCCCCACAGTTGACGGCTCCTATCCGGATCACACCGTCCATCTCCTTGGCCATCTCCCTCCACTGACACAAAAAGTACACATATACGACTGCTCAGTGATGGGAACATTTCATTTAAAAGAGAAATTGATTTCCCAATTTGTATTATTAACTGAAGCGATAATTCAAATTTCGGTCTCAGCTTAGCGTCTTATTTGTGTTGCCAGGTTCAGTGCTGAAATCTAGTTGAATCCTCACTATCCCAGCATAATATGACCCCCTTGCACTTAATAGTGATTTACATTTAGATAATAGATGAGATATTAAACATGGAGTGATTATGAGCTGCAGAGTCATCACTGTGAAAAAGATAATCCCAAATTGTGCATGCTCCTGTCAGGACGGGTTTCGCTGACACATGCAGAGCAGTTACCGTGGGAGCCAGCTGGTGACAGTGGGAGCAGCGTGGAGAGTAGAAGTTGATAAACCAGATCTCTCCAGAGTTCACAGCTGCTTCTGAAACATACAACAACCAC